CATTAAAAATGATTTATTATTCATTACGAATCACCATAACATTATAAATTCAAAGTTGAATTTTAGATCAAATATGTTTTCATGAAACGTTCATAAAGCTAATTAACGGATGGAACAGACATGCATTTAGTTCAAGTTGTCATTAATGCTTGAATCAGTAACTAGTTTAGGTTTCAAATGATATGTTCTTTACGGATAAAGGTCAATATAACATTTACTATATTACAGTTTGTTTGAATAAATATCTTATTGTTAAGACTGCAAAGAACAGTTTTACCTTTTCGAACTTAGTTGATCTAAATTGTTTGCCATGACTGAACGATTTAAACTAACTCAAAATGTTCATACAAAAGGTGATTTCGATTTATTATGGTAAGGCACTATTTAAGAGAAGAAGAAAAAAACGAGTCGCTAAAGAATCTCCTAAAAAGGCGAAATTGAAAATGTTGCAGGCTTAGTTTGATTGAGCCTGTTCAAGGTCGGTATTGGAAAGTGAAAACTACCGTCCATGCCCCTAACATCGGTTTAAGTTTAATTAGACATTTAACTCTTAGATATGTTATTTCATATCTTTTTATTGTTTGCGCAATATCTTATATTTATCCCATGACCAACCCTTTCATAATTAAATGTACTTTACAACAGCCGATGTCAAGTTGTCAAGTACCATTTTGAAGCTGTTAAAAAATGCACTGTGTTTAATTTCAATGTTAAAGTTTTTCTGGCACTTTGGGATTATTGAGCACGTTTAATATTGAAGACGTTACAGCTTTACTGGTGGAGGAAGACCTCAGGTGCTCTTCCGTACTCTTCCGAACGGGCACCAGAGTAGAACCCCCGACGTTCCGTAAGCTAGCTGGATAGCTTCCTCACATGAAAGAATCCAAAGTCCCTGTCGGGATTCGAACCCACAACGGTAAGGGGCAAGTGGTTTGAAGTCAACGACCTTAACCACTCGGTCACGGACGCCCCTGTTGGTATGATAGTGACATATGAACTACAATATATTTTAAAAAATATCTATTATAAAAATTATCGATAAAGAATAACGTATCATGCAGACACTACTTTAACTTTTTTTTGTTTTCCTAACCGATCATGTTTATTGCTTTTCGATTATATACACTGGTTGATTATCAAGATATTCATCATCATTTCATACGGTAACTAAACCTTTTGTTAAAGACGCATTGATGAATAAGTCTTCGAAAAATATATTACGGGCTAGAATGTAGGTACTCATTTCATCCTTTGATCAACTTGCACATATATTTGATATTGAAGAAGTAAAAAAATTACATTAGTTGTTAATTTGTAAATGCCAAATAATGTCAAAATAGGTTTTAGCAATGTCAGTTGATAAATGATACAAACAAGTTTTCAAGGTACATGTAATGTAAAGATGATATTAAAATAAAACAAAATAAGTTTGCAAAAGTAATAATTGTATAAATTAAAGGATCAAAGGTTTAATAGCAATATTTACAGTCATGTTTTTAACCTAAATTTCAGAGGAAATGAAAATCAAACAAGCACGGCAGCGTTATTTCTATTTTATATGAAAATAATATTTCTGTTTGCGTTAAATTCCTTGTATTTGAGTTTTCAGATGTACCAATTCAAACAGATGAAGCGCTCTCTTCAGATTTCAGAAGAATTTCAATGTCTCTCCGATCTTAAGGTTTAACTCACTTAACATTGTCTTCTATATCTATATAAACATTTGATTGCAAATCTTATTAATATATGGTTTTTGCCCTAATGATCCGATGATAAAATAAACAAAGCAGTGTGACTTAGTAAAGCTTTGTTTCAAAGAGATAACGTTTACAAATAAAGTTATTTTTAACTATTTGAACGTAATTGCAGTTCATTCACTACTTGAGATATACTCGTACCTTTAAATATTTTGCATTTTTTGTTTGTTTTGACTGACAGTGCCTTTCAACTATAACAAACCCTATTTTATGTAGATGTAGCACATAATTGGCATTTACAAAAGACAACTGTTCAGTCTGTTATTGAATAGAATTAACACATCTTAAAGGTTTTTGTTGCTGTTGCATTCATTTAATGCAGCTGTTTAGCGGGCTGAAATGTTTGTTTTGATTTACAATGAACGAATGATTAAACTTCGGAACTTTCTGGATTTTGAAGCAATATGAATTAACTGTCGTTAAAACACTATGCCATGTCAAATATTTTTATAATGTTTACAACAAAAGATAGACTAATCAAGTGCACTATTACACGATATATGCATAGTATAAAAACGAATGATTACACGTCATATGACGTAATATTTGACGTCAATAAACCAAATGATGTAAGGGAAATTACACCTACTCCCAATGAAGTTTAACATATTTTCATCGATTCTCTTTGTTTTTAGCATTGAAGAATCGAAATATATATTATTTTGTCTTATAATTTGGTATTATAATATACAATTTAATTGTTCGAATGCTTTGAAAATCACTCAGGTCAATAGGCCTTCGTGAGTATATTCCTGGGCATTTGAACTCGAACCTTGCATTATTCTACATCATTGCACACAAAATCTAAAACAAATTCCATAAAAATGTGATATTTTAATAATTTGTTAAGAACAATTTCTGTGCTCTGTATTTAAATGAATTCGCAATAAATGGTATTTTACAAGTTGCAATAATCTATAACATATTAAAAGTCTAATCAAGCTATTGTTTTGAATTATTTGCATTATAATTATAGTTATTCAATTTCACGTCGTGTCCACTTTCAAAAACTATGTAATCTATATCATGTACATCAATATAAAGAGGAATAGGATGTGATTGTATATATTTCACGTTAAGATATTCCTGTCAAGTTGTATACAAAGTCGAGAAAAAGGACTTAAATATATAGAAGAATTGCATAAATTGCATAATAAAAATGAGCAAAAAGCAAAACCTTTATTGCCCAGACGACATTTATCATTTCTTGTATAAAAGTTATTTTAGCAATTATCCTATCGCTTGTCGTTTTTTATGTTTGGTTTCGTGGTTTCTCTTGTAAAAACATGTAATTTATAATCTTTATTCGTGCACGTTATGAATAATTTTAAGCAAAGAAAAATGACGAAATTGTAGTCGTTTAAGGACTGACTTGAAAACAGTTATACATATGGGTAATTTTGTATCAGATTGTCCTTCAGCTAGTACATGAGAAAAAATAGAACACTCCCAGTTGTCTGTCATAATTTGAAAACATCAGAAAAACAACCCTTCAAAAATGTGATAATCACATAACATATTGCATCTTATTTCTTAAAATTAACTAATTTCCAGTACATTTTACTTGATTTTGAAAAATTAATAAATCGGATAAATGTTTTGCAAGTTAGTGGTTTATGATTTAGACATTAATTCTAAAATAAAGCAAAGGTTATAATACATTGTTACAAATGGAAACAGGGAAATGTTTAATTTGCATCAATATGTCATATTGACACTATGCATCTTACCAGAACAACTATTAAAAGTGGTGTAATGTAAGTAGAATTTACTTTTACAAAATGGTAAAATACAATAATCGTAAATATACGATTTAAACGAAATGTCTATATAGATATCTCAGGTACGACTTATTATTTTAAAGATTATACACATAGTCATTTTTATCCAGATCATGTTTGATGATGCATTATTCAGGGTGATTGAGCAACAAAAGCTGTACCTGCCTATTTCGTTTATCTAAAGAATTTTATTGCTCGTCAATTTCATGCATTCGTGCAATAGTTCGACATTTGCATCAACAATTCATACGGGTAATTAGAATCAGCGTTCCTACCTCTTTTGTTTTTGCTGTTTTAGATTGTTTGTTGTCTGACGGCTGATTTAGTGTGTAATGAAACAATAGAGAATTTTATCAGGAAACATGAATTTTTGCATTTTATAAGTCAGAAAATTTTATGTATGGGTAAGAGTTTGTATTAAGACGACCGTAGGGAGTCTTATCGAACTCTTACCCATATAACTGCAAATAGGCTCTTACAACTTGATATCAGATAAAAATATAGAAAGTGTCACCTCTTTAATTAAGCATAACATTGTTTTTCCCCAGCAGTCACGTACAAACAAGGATGGGGTCCAATTACTTAATCTGGCATGTAAAACAATGAGTGTTCAACAATATCTACGATTTTTAATGCAATTCATTCCTGTCATATGTGTCGTGAATTACACGATTTTGTTTTACTCCTAATCATGAGAATTATGTCTGTTTGTATTTGGCGGGAAAATATTATATTTCTTTTTACTCCAAAACTTATGAATTGTGTATTTTGGTATTGGCAGGAATTTATTATACTTACGAATTACTCCATATCATGATTTTTACCTATTTTCAATGATATTCATGACTCTTTAAATTGGCGGGAAGAAACACTATATAAGTGAATTACAATCTTTATTGTGGAAATGTAGTGTAGTGTAAAAGTGTAAAAGAAGTAGAAGTGTAGAAGTGTTAAAAAAGGTTGTTAAAAGGTGATTAAAAAGTATAGTTGGATGTAAAAGTGAAAATAAAATCTGAATTTAAAAGTGAATTTTGTTGTCTTCAATGTAGTAAAAGTTAAAGGGAAATTAAAAGGAAAAAGTTTAGAAAATCTGCTACATTGAATTTGGCGCCGGAACCCGGGAATCGAGAATAGAATTTGAAGATTTTCCACAAAAAAGAATTTCTTCACAACGTATATATGATGTCTCTGTGAGATGCGAAAACAAATATCTTACAGTTGGATTGAAAGGATTCTCGATTCAGTCAAAGAAAATAGTGATGTGTGGTATCCTGAAATGTGTTTATGCGTGAAAACAAATTGAAGGCGAAGTGGCAACCAGAATCAATAAAGTGTTTCTCAAAGGAATATAAAAGTGAACTAAAAAAAAAAGTGTTGAATAAATTCAAGGAACCACTGAGGTAAATTTTGAATAATGTTACTGTGATTTTTTTGTGTGTTTATAAATATCTATATAGTAATCATGAGTGACTTACCATATCTAAAAGGCGTGCGCACACGCTACTTTAATTTCCTTGAGAAGGAATTACGGACTGGAGATAATTTATTAGAAACAAGTATTGAGAGCATAAGCCCAGAAGAATACAAGAAGCTTGAGCATTCTGTCAATGAAAGTAAACTTAAGATTGATATTTATATAGATAAGCTTACTGTTCAGTCAGAAAAGGTAGCGCGTGCAATTGGTGATTCAGATAGTGAATTTATTCAGGAGATGATTGAAATTGATTCAGTCTTGATTGATAGGGCTTTGTCGATAGCCTTTAAACTGAAAAATGTACAGACCGACCTGAAAAGCAAAATAGCAGAGAATATTATAAAAGAGGAGTCGGACGAAGAAGGATCAGCTTTACAAAAAATGTGTGAAGTTCAGATGAAACTTCAACAAGCCTTCTTTGAACATCAGCAAGAACGGGCAGAAGAGCAAATGAAAATGCAACAGAAATTCTTTGACAAGCAACACAGTCTCAAAATTAAGAGTGAGAATACTGTCAAATTGCCAAAGTTAGACATAGTTTCCTTTAATGGAAATAAACTGCAATGGATGGAATTTTGGGACTCTTTCTCTAGTGCTGTACATGAAAATGACAATCTGTCGCCAGTTGACAAGTTCAACTATTTAAAGGGAAAGCTGGTTGGAGAAGCTAGAGGTGCTATCGCTGGACTGACATTATCTAATGAAAACTACGGTATTGCCATAACAATTCTAAAGGAAAGATTTGGAGATAAACAAGACATTATAGATTTGCATTATAAGGGGCTGGTGAACGTTGCATCCCCTAAAGATACAACTGAAAGTTTGCGATTCTTTTATGACAAAATACAAAAGCACTTGAGAAGTTTGGAGGTTATGCATGAGAGTTTGGAGCAACAAGTGTTCGTATCAATTATTCGGAGCAAACTACCAAGTGAAGTTCTTATGCATCTTGAAGTACAAAAGGGTGCAGACAATAAGTGGACGATAACCAAGCTTCGTGAGTTTCTCAGACAGTATATTGTATCCAGAGAAAAGTCAGACAGACCGAAACCAGTCAGTGCTAATTTTGTACCTGATAGAAGAGTTAATCCACAGTTTCAAAGATCAACAAATACTTTTAAGAGCTACAGGGGTAATTCAACAACAAGTAACACTACCGGAGCTCTGACTGCATATGACAAGAAAGGACATACGCCTCTAAAACATCATCAAAAACAACAACAACATAAGAGAATATGTAGATTCTGTAGTAAAAATCATTGGAGTGACGAATGTCCGAAGTTTAAAACAATCGACGAAAGAAAAGCTCAAATAAAGGGATGCTGTTACAAATGCTTAAGAGAAGGACACATGTCTCCTGACTGTAAAAGTATACGTGTTTGTGTATATTGCAATAAATCAAATGTACACCACAGAAGCTTATGCCCTGAAAAATTTAGAAAGGCATCTCTGCAAGAAAGTGTAAATTTGTTAGAAGAAGTAGCATGTGTGTCTGAAGATAGAGCAAAACCAAAGGAAATTCTTAGAAATTCTACGGATGATAAAGCTTGTATTGAAAGTGCTTTGTTATCTTCTAATGAAATAGTGATGATGCAAACATCGCGCACTGAGATTTGTGATCCAGATGGTCAAAATAAAGAGAACGTAAGAATCTTATTAGATTCAGGGTCGCAAAGAACATACATAACCGAGAGACTGGCTAAATCTTTGAATCTCAAGAAGAAAAGTAGGCAAGAGATTCGTCTAGTTACATTTGGGAGTGACAAACCTAAAGTGATTAGGACAATGTCTACGCAATTGAATATTCGATTAAAGGATGGACAGAATTTCGCTATTACAGCAAATATTGTTCCAACAATTACAGGAAGCATTCAAAGAAAACCAGTGTCTATATCTAATAACGGAGAGTTCAGATCGTTAATCAAGAATCTTACTCTAGCGGATGATATACCGACTGAAGAATACACAGATTCTATTGATTTGCTGTTGGGAAATGATTATTACTTAGATATAGTGTTAGGACATAAAATAGAAATTCAGCCAGGCTTATACCTCTTGTCATCAAAACTTGGTTGGATTCTTTCAGGAAGAACAAGTGAAATCGATGACAGCGTTACTGATGCCAATATGCTCATATTATCATATGGCAATAACATAACTAAGACACAAGTGTTTACAACAGTTGACACATGTGTTCCAAAATTACCTGACATAGAAGACTTTTGGAATATAGAAACAATAGGATTGAAAGATAGCACAAATGAAAGAACTGAGGATGATCAAGCGATAGATAAGTTCAAAGAAAGTCTTGTGTTCAAAGATAACAGATATTATGTCAAGTGGCCGTGGAGAGGCGACAATTATGAAGTTCCAGAAAATCGTCCTCTAGCTTTTGGACGACTTAAGTCATTAGTGAAAAGGTTCAAAGATAACCCAGATGTATTACAGAAATATGATTCTGTTATTCAAGATCAGCTTGAAAAGGGCATTATAGAAAAAGTTGAGACCTCTGAAAAGAAAGGACATATCCATTACTTACCCCATCACGCAGTGATAAAGCCTGACAAATCAACAACAAAGCTGAGAATTGTGTATGACGCGTCAGCTAAATCAAAGGTTGAAAATAACAGTCTGAACGACTGCCTTTACAGAGGACCCGTGCTTTTGAATGATTTGTGTGGAATTCTGCTAAGATTTCGACTACATAAGATCGGTATTGTTTCCGATATAGAGAAGGCTTTCCTCCAAGTTGGGTTGCAGAAAGATCAAAGAGATGTCACTCGTTTCATATGGTTAAAAGATATTGAACACCCAGACATATCGCAAAATCAGGTACAAGAATACCGGTTCTGTAGGATCCCCTTTGGAATTGTGTCAAGCCCTTTCTTATTGGGAGCAACAATTGATTATCACTTGGAGTGCTATAACAATGAAATCGCCAAGAAACTGAGACTAGATATTTATATGGACAATGTTGTAACGGGAACAGAAAACGTTGAAGCTGCGAAAGACTTGTATATTAGGTCCAAAAGAATTTTCGACGATGCCAGCATGAATCTTCGCGAGTGGGCGTCTAACAACAGAGACGTGACGGAAAGTATTCCACCTGAAAACAGAGCCAATGAAACTGTGATTAAAGTGTTAGGTCTTGAATGGAACAGACACAAGGATACATTTGCGATACAGAAAGTGAATAAATCGACAACTCAGTGTGTAACTAAACGTGTCATTTTGAGCAAAATTGCCTCTGTATTTGACCCTCTAGGTATATTTGCACCAGTTACACTTAGAGGAAAAGTACTCATTCAAACACTGTGGAAGAAAAAAGTCGATTGGGACCAGCCAATTGACGAAGAAGACATTGTTGTATGGCATGAAATTCAACGAGATCTCAGTGAAATAAGTGAACATGCCAACCCACGATGCATTGTAAGTGAAGGTGATAACAAAAATATTCTTGTGTGTTTCTGTGATGCCTCTACCAAAGCATACGCTACCGTTATATATTTGATGCAGAAAGGGAATTCACAACAGCACATCGAAATAGTATTTTCAAAGACTCGACTTGCTCCAACTTCAAACATCAGTATTCCACGACTTGAACTCCTTGCTGTACTTATAGGGGTACGATGTTTAGCCTTTATACAAGAGCAAATAAAGATGCAAATTGACGAAGTTCATTTGTTCTCAGATTCTCAGTGTGCATTAAAATGGATTATGTCGGGAAAACAGCTTCCGTTGTTTGTTAGAAATCGAGTTAATGAAATAAAAGACCACAAACATGTGTCCTTCCATTATGTTACGTCTAGAGACAATCCTGCTGATATAGCCAGTCGGGGTTGCTCTACAAAAGATCTTGTGAAAAATTCGTCATGGTGGCATGGTCCTGAGTGGCTATTGCAAGACATTTCCGAAAGGACATTAGATGAGTTAACGTTTAAAGAAAATGATAGAATGGACAAAGCAATGGCAACAAAATGTAAATGTTTATAAATTGAAAGATTTGTTTAAGAAAACAGGAGTATGTTTCGTCCATTTAATGTTTAAAAATATGTTTGTCATTATGACTATTTGTTTAAATTTATTTGCGCAAGTATGAGTTTAATTTTCTAAGAAGAAGATTGTTTCAATTCTTGCATTTTGAGAATATTTAAAGAGCAATTTTAATATGTACTATTTTAGTGAAAGATATAATATTTTAATTTTTGTTGGCCGGAGTGTCGTGAATTACACGATTTTGTTTTACTCCTAATCATGAGAATTATGTCTGTTTGTATTTGGCTGGAAAATATTATATTTCTTTTACTCCAAAACTTATGAATTGTGTATTTTGGTATTTGCGGGAATTTATTTCACTTACGAATTACTCCATATCATGATTTTTACCTATTTTCAATGATATTCATGACTCTTTAAATTGGCGGGAAGAAACACTATATAAGTGAATTACAATCTTCATTTTGGTAGTGTAAAAGTGTAAAAGAAGTGGAAGTGGTAAAAGTGTTAAAAAAGGTCGTTTAAAGGTGATTAAAAGTATAGTTGGATGTAAAAGTGAAAAATAAAATCTGAATTTAAAAGTGAATTTTGTTGTCTTCAATGTAGTAAAAGTTAAAAGGAAATTAAAAGGAAAACGTTTAGAAAATCTGCTACAATATGAAACAAAATAATGTTTTGCTTACTTTTTATAGAAAATATAAACAGTCAGCAATTAATAATTGACATTTTTCTTAGAGTTAAAAGGATATCAAAAAATGTTACTGTGTACTCATTTGTCTCTGCGAGCTGAGCTCCACGTGTATTATCTATGTAATAAATTTGAATGTATCCTGACATTGCTACAGTGTTATCAGCCCTATAAGAAACACCTGACCTGGCTAATTAAAATATGCCAATCACAATTTTCACTATCAGCACTGGTTTATTCATGAAAAAAGCGATTACAATAATTACTGCCGACTAAGAGCCGATTTGCAGTTATAGAAATATGTCGGCAAATAAAACGATTTCTTATTTCTCTTCTTTAATTAATAATTTCTACCTCAAAGGTAACAAGAACATATATATCAAACAAGCATGTTATTATGAAGCATTAAGGGTCTGCAGAAAAACGCAGTGAGAAGCGACATGTTTATGAAAATGACCATTTATACGTTATGTTGTTAACACATTCACTCTTGTTTTGAACAATTGGAAACAATTTTTTATAAAACTAAAACAAAATATTTGAGAAAAATAGAACAATTTTTTCACGCTCTACATAATAATAGTACATGTCGTGATTAAGCTTTAATTATTTAAGAGAATGGGAAAAAGAACCTTAGACTCATATATTTCTGACATTGGTCTGACACAGGACGTTTAAAGATAAGCCCCCTGTATTTCATACCAGTATAATGTTGGCGAATTTTATGCAATACATTTATTCAAAAGAGTCTATAAGAAACTGGTGTTTAATATGAACACATATCTCAATAATATAGTAATTTATGGGATAAACAATTCTATTTTATATAATATAAGCAAGAATTGTTATTATTCAATATCTGGTTTTGGTTCTGGATTTTCTCATCAATCATTAAATCAGGTGAAAACCTAAATGTACAAATTTTCCGACGATAATCTCTTATCTCAATGATAACGTTTAACAGTAGTATACAATAGTTCGTCTATGTTTACATTCTAAAGACAATAATTTTGTTATAGTTCTTAAAAAGATTAATACTTTAGTTTATACCATTTGTAATTTTATTTTAGGCTGTACTATTTGCTTACTTTGTTTTATTTTAAAGTATATAGACTTTGTGCCAATAAATTATTTTACTTTTTTATCCGATACTTCGGAAGATAGTCATTAACAATAGAAAAAACTGAATCCCTACAGAACAACTCAAAATGTTGCTGGCTCGGTTTGATTGAGCTGTTCATGGGCGGTACTCAGTGCAAGTTAACGTCCACGCCCCCCCCCCCCTCTGACCAGCACCGACTTATTCTTATTGTTTGTTCTTTATTACTTTTCCATAAGGTATACTTATAGATGTTACTGGTCTTATTGTATAATGAAACATATATTTTAGTATGTTTATCATAATTATACATCAAACAATGCATTTAATTTCAGCGTGAAATATTTTCCTTACGATGTTTGTTGTCATAGTTATATTCATTAAGTTTATTAAAGTCTGTTACAACCTTCCTAGAAATGTAAAAAAATATATACCAGCATAATTAAGCATTTGTAGCGTTCCATTTCATTTGAAGTTTAGGACAATAACAATAAACTTATTAAAATAAATTTATTCGTTAATGAATTTCATTTACAAATATTTCCAGCAGTTCATAAGAAAAATATATCAACATTATCGTCTGAAAATAATGAACTGTCTTTGTAACCTTGAAATGTAGAAATTAAAACTTATTATATACAATGTTGCAAATCAAAACTGTTAATGTCAGGGTCTTTTTGTGTTTAATGGTCCATCATGCCTCAGAAATGCTATCAATAAATTTTTCTCAAAATCGTTTTATTTTTGGTATGTTATTACAGTTTCCAAAAAATAAACTCATTTGCTATAGATATGAACTTCCTTTTGCATCTTTAGGTCTGTTGGCAATAGTATAATTAAACTGAATTAGTATATTGTATGGAAGTCAAAATACTACTTTACAATGTGCTACCTTAACGACACAACACTGCACTTTCAGCGCTACTTTATTTAGTATTTATACATGTTACATGCTCTCAATTCATTATTTAAAAACATTATAAAAACATGTTTGACATTTCTAAAAAATAAAAATTATGGATTTCTGGGGCATAATGTGCCTTAAAGTACAATGTAAAAAGATACAGGCGCATTTAAGCATTTGTAAATTTTATAAAGTAAGTGATAAAATAATTATAGCATGTACTTTCCTATTGATTTAATTTGCTTTGGTAATTTCATTCTTGTTATCAGGTTTGATTTTAAGCTTCTCAGAAAACTAATACGCCGCAAGTCATTGCACGATGTAGTAAGATATGTTAAAGGGGACTATTTCAAACAATATCTATGCAGCCGGAGATGTTAAGTTAACTTGCGAGCAACACTTTATGTCTCATTAATGTAATGTATGTAATGCTATCAAATAGGAGAGTGCAAAGAGTAATTACACCTTTTGGTGTTTTTACTTTCAATTTAAGGTTTAAAAAGTTGTAATAAGAAACAAAGTAATTAAATTATTGATATGCGAGTAAATTAAGTATAACTTGGTTTATAACTTCTTAAGTGTAAAAGTTAATGGCATGGTGCGGGTTTTGTTTAATTGATGAATGAAAGTCGTCTTAATTGTATCGTGCTATACACACAGTGTGAACCAGCTGATTTCTAGTCACTTCAACAATCGCTAGTATATGATATGATAATATCAAATATAAATTAATCAACTATACAGCTGCACACGACCATGAATAGACATTCATTCTCTTGACATCTGTTCGCTTCCGCGTGTGGTTACATTTATTGTAGACTTTTGCTGCTTCCCTTGAATATGTAAACACTTGTTTTAAAGGGTAACTGAAATTAACACTACTTTGTCGATTATTATAATCATAACGATTTATTGAATTTTAAGCACTATCATTCAGAAGCTCTATCAAAAATAATTTTAGCTTGATATTGCAAAGGGTTAGTTAGATGTAGTGTTTTGCCAAATATCTCTCACAATATATTTCGAGCAAGTAATTAATAAAATGCTTACAAATACTGCCAATTACGTTTTATGATCATAATTACTGAAACGTACTCTTGAGCCCCTCCCGAGTATTTATTTACTGAACAAGGAATTTAATGAACAAGTCTGGCAAAGAAAAACGTTTGGCACATTGTGACGCGGTATTTTCGTCAAGTATAGACATTTAGAGAGTTGTTGCAGAGAGGACAATAAAAAACGCTTAATTTTTGAAAACAATCGACATAGACTATTGGTTTTAATTGATATTGTAAGATATGTACTCCCAAAATATTAGTTTGAAAATTTGTCAACACCTCAAAATTTGTCAACACAAAACTGGATCTAGACTCCGCGGGCTGCATTGTAAGAAATCGCTTCAGCTCATAAGAAGAGGGTCAATAATACATAAATTGCATACACCATTACCTTCTTATTTGTAAGCAAATCTAGAAAATTAGCGATACCTTTTGAAATAGAGAATCAAAGCACAGAAGGCGCTGAATTTGTTTGGGTCTCAGAATGTCAGAAAGGTGAAGGTTGTGAGATTAAAAACCAATTTGTTTTTATAGTGTCATCAATGCTGTTTCCAGTGTTATAATATATATATATATATAGTGTTTACTATAGTAAATTGGCTATAAGACTTATTGCAACACCGATATTCAATTCAATGTTTATTTGGCTTAAACAATTAAAAAAATGAGTTGCCTGAACTGGGATTTGAAATCCAGACCTCTCGCTTCCAAAGAAAGCGTGTAAACTCTCGATCATGTAGGGTCATAAGATAATAGCCTGAAGAATACCATATTATTCTAAATTAGAGTTTGTAACCCTTATTAATTTCGATATAATTTGTTCAAGGTAAACCTGTTGTTTAACACTGAATAAATAAATATGGAGCTGAATATAAGCATTTATAGCTATAGGAATAACACAATATTTGAAATATTCGACCAATCGGGAACTATGTTTTCGTGACGAAAATTAATGCGCCTGCCATTTGACAATTTTTACGCAGTGATCTCCCCTTAATTTTTCGGCGTTAATGTACACATGAAGGGAAGTAACCGCTTCGAGGAGTTTGAACTACTTTCGGTATTTGCAAAAAAGAACATCAGGGTCTGAAATTTCGCTACCATTATTTGTCTGGTCTGACGACCCAAACAAATAATGAACACTCATGTAAAAATGCTCTTTATGCACTCTTGCAGTACAAAATAAGTACAGAAGCATATTTAAATTATGCAGATTGATTGCAATAATAGATAAAACTAGAATTATTA